ACAGAAGGGCAGCTGCTCTGTAAGCCAATCTTGATAGTAAGGGCTGCACGGTTTCATACCAGCGAGGCCATTAGATATATTATTAGGCAGCACAACCCGGGCTCAGGAATCCCAGGCTGTGGGATTCCCGCCGGGCCCTAACCCCCCCCGTAAGGGGGGGAAGCGGCCCAGCCTGCCAGCTCTCCCCGTTACATGAGCCGCCCGGGGCCGAAAATGCTCGGCCGCCTCTTTGCCAGGCTGCCGGTTCTCATGGGGGATCGCGTTTGAAAAGCGGAGAAGTGAGATATTGTATTTCACGGGGCTGTTTTCCAGCTTTTTTGGCGGGGGGAGAGAACGGTGTGGTGTTAAGTATCGTCTCTGAATCTGACGCTCTCGGGTGTTCCCACTCGCATCTGGCCTCCTGTTACCAGATGTTGGAAATCCTCCTCCACGCTCACGTCACGCCTCAGCATCTGGCCCTGTATGTGACCTCCAGTAAGTCCCATGAGTGGTTCTCTCTTTACCTGGACCAGTTTGTCGATCCCAAGAGCTCGATCCAGCTCGGCCAGCTCCGTCTCGTCTTTGCCGCTGAGGAAGGAGACGAGCTGCTCGAGCAGGGCTTTCTCGTCGTTCCGACCCTCCGGCGTGGTGGGAGGACACAGGAGCTCATCCAGCTGCGAGGTGATGCACTGGCTGCAGAGAGAAGAAGTCAAGGGGAGGCACGTTAAGGTTTATGAAGCAGCAAGGAGGCTGAGCTAGGAGATGCTCGAGCCACACAGCCCCTGCAGCCACGGGGACTCGCTCCCACCCCGCTGCATCAGGCAAACCCTACGGGATGCAGCCTCGTCCCCTGGCTCCGACACTGGCTGTGCCTGCTCAAGCTCAAGCCCCGGGCCAAAACCTGCTCGTAAGGGTGAACCTCTCCACGAAACGAAGCCAGGACAGCGTTTTGGTGAGGTTTGGGAATAAAACTTCGGTGCTTTTGCAGGCTTTGCTCCCGCAGGCGTTTTGGGCAGGACAGCGGGAGGCAGAGCAAAACTTCTGCCGGCACGAAAGCAGGGAGGCGTGGATGGAGCCGGAGCAGCTGGAAGCGGAGCAGCTGGAAGCAAAGCAGCTGAAGGCAAAGGGGAACCTTTGAGCTGCAAAAATAAGATTTCTGCAAAGCTCGCTCAATATTCTTTGGGAATAAGATTAATATGTAAGGAGAGACATTCCAATGACGTGACTAATTGGAGTCAATCGGATTTGTCGGGTCTGACACGATGAAGAGAGCCGTGGCACATCACGCTCGCAGAGAGGCACAAAGGCGAGGGCTCGAACATGCCAGCAGTTCCCAAGCAGCAGACATGTTTATCCTTTTAGCTCCAGATGAGGACCAGATGTACAGTAAGGAACTGAAGCCAATCTGACCGAGACCGCTGCAGCCAACACACGCAGCCTAATCCGGGGAAAAGAAATACTCGGCTTTGGGATTTCTTAAATTGCAGAGCGGGAGCAGAGAGGGAAGCGGGGAGACAGAGGTGAAAAGCAGGGCTAGTTTCACTCCGTAGCCAAGGTCCCTGCTACCTGCTGCTTGTATCAAACCCAGTTTTTCAGTGCCAAGGCCAAAGGACAAAGCTTGCTGTGCAGACGTCGTTCTTGCAGAGGAAGGGGAGGACAGGCTTCTTCTCCTCATTAACAGGCAGCTAGAGGAGAAATTCAGGTTGGCACCGTCCCTTCAGCCCATGCCAGACCTCCGCGTGGACGGCAAAAGTTGGTTTATAAAGCCATCGTGGGGACAATACAACATTTAGGTAGTAAATAAACCTCCAGCGCGTCCTGCTTTGCAGCCCAATCCAGCTTGCGGAGCCTTCCCCACTCCTCCTCTCCTCCAGCACCATGCCGTGGTGGGGTTCAGATGAGTCTCCAGGCAGGTGACGGAGGGGAAAAGGAGATCCTGGACCCCATACATCATGTCCCCAGTCGTACCGGCTTCGTGATGCAAAGGTTTTCTATCCACCCTTCAGGCTTTTCTAAGGCGAAAACTCTGATTCTGCATGCGGTGAGGAGATATTCAGCTACTTGCAGAGATGGTGTCAAATGCTGCTTGAGGTCCCGTAAAACATCTCCCTGGCATGGCCTCCAAGCGCTGCTCTGAAAGGGTGCAGGTCTCCGGCCCTGCACAGATGTCCTACAAACCTCAGGCATCTCAGATGCACTGGGTGCCAGCGTTGAGGCAACCGAATCAGGCCCCAGGTGGCATGTTTGACCTTGGGGGATTAGAGGAATGCACGCGAGAACAGCGGCCTGGACTTGGTTCGAGAAGCCTTGGACCTGGCCCAAGGTGTCCCTCTTCTGCAGAAGACACGAGAGCACTCATGCCCGGGACACGAGAGAGGGGATGTTGTAGTCTTCCCACTTTATCAGGAGGCAAAAAGCAGGAGAGGATTTGGGGAACAGGAGAATTTAAAAAGGAAGTTCCTGTTCCCCAGGACACCCGGTGCTGGGCGATCTGGGCACCACCAGCTCCTTGAACAAGGCCAGGACCTCAGCCCCGCTCCAGCTAACGCGAACCTCCCAGCTGGGAAACCTTTACAACCCCCAAAGGAAAAGCTCCGCCAGTTTGATCTCAGCTAAAATATATTCCTCGGTCCTGTAATATCTGCAGTCTAAAGGCTCTGTCTGCTTTCTCTGCGGTCTCCATCGGGTGGATGCACAGCTGCTGGGACCGTGGGCATCTCCCAGGACAAGCATGTCCTCCACAGCTGGAGCACATCTGCAGGTCCTGAGGACCAAAGTCCAGAGGCTTTTCTCCAGCAGAATCTCTCCTCTCGGCTGCAGTGGAAGTGGGATTTTGTAGTTGATCACCACGCCGCTAGATGGAAGTGTTTAGACCCCACCAAGATACTGCCAAGACAGGTCTCACCCATGATGCTCCATCAGACCTATGGTTACTGAAGATACGAGAGGGAACTGAGCTGGGAACCAGCTTCCTCCAGCGTTGCCTCTGCCCACCACCTCCAGCAGGAACAGCCCTTGCCCGGAGACCCTAATTCAGGAGGAACGGAGGCTCACCATGACGAGCAGACCTCTACCTCTCATCTTGCTGTCATCTCATGGCCCCAGTCCATGTGCTGGCTTTACTGGTGCCTTCCACCACATCTCCACTGCACGGGGAGCCCGACCTTGCTGCAGGGACCTGATGGCACCATGGGAAGTCCCACCATGCACCTTGCCTTCTCCCCCCTCAATGCCGAGAAAATCAAATACTACCCTGTAAAACCCTAACCAGGCTGCAATTTTAAAGCGGGGTTGAAACCACCGCTCTCCAAAGGCAGGGACTGTGCGAGATTCGTTACCTCCACATCTCACCAGGCTTCGGGCAGATGCCGCCGCTCCACCAGTCCGACCTCGTCTCCTGGCACAGGGCTCTGCCCTGAAACCACCCGAGGTGTTTTTCCCACCTGAGGAGTCCTGGGGTGCTGTTGCCCAACGCTTCCCTCCTTGACACTTGCGCAGGTCCCAAGCCTTTCACGCCAACCTGGGTCCTCACTCAATAATCCTGCTGCAAAGGGTGAGCCAGAAGAAAATCCCCCTCCCTTCCTCCCAGCTGCGCTGGCTGGGGAGACAAAAATTTCTACAGCCAGCCAGACTGACTCAGTGCTTGGAGCACAAGGCTGCTGAGTAAGGTAAGGTCATTTTTACCCCATAAGCAGCATTTTAAGGAACATTCGTAGCTTAAAAAACAGATTGATTTTTCTAGCAGCTCTGCCCTTTGCCAGGTATGCCCCACGGATCTTAACCCAACAAAATAATGACAGCAGCGAGGCTTAAAAGGAAAGTTACTTCCTTGTGGCAAGGGCTCGGGCTGGTGTAAATGCTCAGTTAAATAGGGATTTGTTTTATCTCCCAGCTCTTTCAAGCAACAAGAGGCCAAGTCCTTCCAGCAGAAGTCCAAGATCCAGTTGCAGCAGTGGAGACCACTTAAGCAACTCTCTTCCTGGGCTGAGCGAAGAGCTTTAAGAAATTAATCCAAATTTAGCCCCTAGAAAAAGATGTTTGGCTACCGGCTTGCTCAAATACAACTCTTACACATGTCTTCTTCAGGACGGGAAAAGAGACTGCTCATCTGCTGAAGACTTTAATTAGCAGAGGAAATTCTGCCTCTCCGCAAAGCAGGGCTGGGCTTTGGCAAGAGGATCTGTGCAGAGCTCATCAGTGCTGGCTCTTAAACCAGGTACCCGAAGCCCTCCCCGAGTCAGGGGGAGGATTCACCTCCCAACCGCATCAAATCCATCTCCATGAGCACTGCTGCCAGCGCTGCTGCCTCAGCGAGGACTTTGGGGTGCCCCTTGCCCGGCAGGGCATCGACTGCCGAGCTCCATCGGCAGGGCTCGCCACCCTTCTGACCTCCCGTCCCAAAATATCTGACCTACAGTCTCTTCCAAGAGAGTTTATAGCCAAGGAGTGACGTTGTACTTTGGGCAGATGATGGCCGCTCCATGGGGCATGGACCCAGAAAAAGTGGTCAGAGGACCGGAGGGGGTTATTCGACCCTGGATTAGAGCTGTAATAATTTTAGCTGAAGCCAAGCACATGGGGACTGCAAAGAGCTGCGATCACGTGCAAACAAAAAACTGTCCCATGGTTCTCCAGATCCCACCACTGGCCCCGGCGAGAAGGGATGCTGGAGAACACCAGCCCAAGCATTGGCACTGGCAAGGGATAGTGGGGACTTGCAGCATCCTTGGCTCTGCCGTGGATATATGTGATTATTCAGGTCCAGACATACCCTGGACGTCTCCCCCCCCCCACCTTCCTCATCTACTCACACGCTTGTCCCTAGAGAGATAACAGACATTATCTCTCGCATCGTAGCACCCTGCACCTCCCAGGTCCCGGCACTTTATGGTCCCAGCAGCAACCATCGCCATCGTACGGCGATGGGCAGTCGTGCTCATCCCAGCCTGCACTTGCCGGGTTTCCAGGCAGGCAGCAAAGCAAGGACACGTCTCTTTGACCCAGGCAGCTATTGCCAGGACATCCCAATGTTCTCCTGGGAGAGGCTGGGAAGCTGCCAGCCCCGCGGTACTTACTCTTCGGGTTTATTCAGCGCGCCTCGATTCATGGCTGCCATTTATCCGTCCGTCCAGGGGATCTGCTCCCCCATTCCCGGCTGTCCAAACTGGTGATCCGGCACCATCTCCAGC